GAAATTCACTGATCCAGTACAACCCGTTTGGTCTAGACCACAGTTTCAGCCACCCAACGACAATTATGATAAAATATCCAGTTATACATTGGATTTTCAAAAGAAAAAAGGTTTGAATTCAAGAATGCCTATTATACCCAAGACAAATTTAGAACTAAGTAAAGAACCATTTTCTGGACAGTCAATTTACACCACTCATTATGTTGATTACGACCCCGTTTTTGTTGAATCATTCCGGCCACGACTTACCTACTCGCCTCCTCTAGTAAAGATGGACGATAACACTACATATAGAACCAGTTATCTGCCAATGCATTACCAAAGAAATCGAAACGACTCCGTGAACAAGATCTCCCAGTTGAACGATGCTTCTCGATCGCATTTCATTGAATCAAATAACCCCCTGGCAGCTGATCCCAACTGGTCATCCAAATTCGTGTTATCGAAGGAACGACAACCCTCGTGGATAGNTGGATAGCTCCCCTAGATGCAAATAGACAATTCTCCATCCCCTTCCGCTATCCATTAGACGAACCGAAGAACGGTTTGGCACAAACATCGACGCAAAACCTCTCTGGACGACAATATAGTCAGCCATGGGGGCAAACCGCTAGGCTGAATTCAGTCTCTTATGCGAATTACCAGCCACCTGTTGGATCCTATCGTGACAATATGGACGGATTTAGCAACGGGGGAATGAAAATCTCACTAAATTCCAGTTGGACCGGAACGAAACAGCAGAAAAAGGAAATCAGTTGGAATTTGTCCGCTAACAATTACTCGGACAGACAAGATCAATCTCTGAGTAAGCGATTGAGCAAATCCATGACTGGGTTATCGGCACAGAGCCCGATCAGTGCATCCATGGGGAAAGCAGTGACAAAAATTATGAAAGCTTTGGACAGTAAACCACTGATTAGTCTACCGAAACTGACCTCACGCTGAATGTATCGACCCAACCTGTGATAGGACAGTAAATCGCTTTATATATTCATCAACGTTTTGACTACGTTCACGCTGTGCGCCAAACGTCCAATGTTCTGTTTTTTACTACCGTCCTCCAGTTAGCTGTTTGTGCCGTTTTGTCTTTCCTCTGGTCAAACTTTATCAAAGTAGGTCTGTTATTGTTTCTCTTATTTGACATTTAAATCGCTTTAGTTGACAGTACATAAATATTCAATCCACAAAAGTGCAGTCTTTCCGAGCGATGCCCCTCTTCCCTTAGAAAATGTACCATGTTCCACGAGCTACCTCTAGCCGTTTCACGACCACTGGGTCACGGTAATTGACGGATGCGGAACTGAAAGTAAATAGTAAAACTTGAAGCAAATATATGCATTTGATGGGCAAAGTAAGGTACTTAAGCGGTCTGTTACAATCACCTCTCTAATTGCTTGTGTCACACTTTTAGTCCATTTCATCACATAATCTGATGAAGACACTCCGTAAACTATCTTGGTCCGGTAACCCCTGCACTTTTCAATTCTTACCAGTCAGACAGTTCCACATGCGCGTCGTTGGTGTGTTCGCAAAAGCAAAACAACATCATTCGTAACTGCGGTTTTATTGTTCATCCACAAAAGGGTTTAGGCTCTTTAGTAGGAAACAGCGGTAAAGACTTATGATAAATCCTTATCGATTCAAGTAGCACTTCACCATACTTTATCTGAGAATATAGCACCATTCTTTAGCGTGAAAATTTCATTACACCCTAATGGTGTAAAGACCACTAATCACAGTAGACACCCCAGAATTGACATTACGGGTACCTTGTGAGGAGCACCATAAACAACACGGCGTTGCTCAATCCAGCCTGTTCTTCTGTGACATGCACTATCGCAAATATTTTAAGTTGCTTTTTTAATTAGGTGTCAAATTCTCCAACCAGAGCACGGTAGACAGTGTCCATCCAGTTTATGGATTGACTATTTTGACAGGGATTGATAAAGTATCCCGGTGTTCTAGAGCTTTGTTTCCGTAAAAATATAAACATTTAGTTTAGCACAAAACCTTACATGAATACAACAATTTTTATTATTTAGTTTACCACACCTAACTCCTGACAATAATCAGTTATAGGAAGTCGCTCATGATCAGAATAAATATTGATCAATACTCAAATTTTATGGCTCACATATAATGCTGATCGAACTTGTGACATACTGCTCCTGACGCCAAAATATAGAGTTTTATTGTGCATAACCTCAGGATTATAGCGCAGGGTCAAACAAATAAACCGGGAATCCAAAATTATCAAAAATCGCTGTTAAATCCCATACAGAAGTTTAGTGATCCGATTTATCGTACAAATTTTCTGTCATTTGTTTTTCTAAGGGTAAGCTAAGCCAAAGGATGGAATCTCTTTCTATCCTGAACGGACCTTGGTTAGTGGTTGATTGATAAAGAGTTTGTTATCGCCTTCGTCCTATCTAATTTGCTAACATAAGTTACACCCAAGAGGGTCTTTTAGTTGAAGATAAAACTTCCACAGCGTTTATCCAAACTCTTCCACAGATCGAAATAATATTTTTGCGAACCAACCAAAAGTGATTATTATCTATACAGTACTACTCCCTAACTGGACTAGCAAAACATAGTGCGCTCAATAAGTTATTTTTCAGCTTCACTTCCCATTAGTTGTCATTGTGCGCGCATTTAAGATAGCAGCTTGATACCAGGTACAAGTCTTTGGCTTGTTTTTGCATTTCGAATAGCACACTCATAGATTTTGTCTACTTCTTCTACATGTGTTTCGTGTCTGGTAGACCACCTTGTGTTCAATGGATTCGGGTTTGACCTTGATTAAGTCACACTGCCCGGAATTGGTTTCACAATGAAAGCGTAACAAAACTCGACGATCAAAGGAGTAGTAACATGTGACATGTAGTAGTAACATGCAATTTGAACGATTGACTATTGTGGATATGGCTAGTTTCCCCCTGGTCAGGTCAAAGATTTTGTGTGAAATCACTGAACTGAAGGATACGGACAGAGCAGACCAGAAAAAGCAATCACGATTCATCTTCTTACGATTCACACGACTGTTCGGATTATGTCTTTTTATGTGCTTACATATTCAAAACGAATCTGTGCCCAAAGATCAAGGTATTCGATGCTTTTCGAAAACTTTGGGCTGGACACAGCCATTCACTGATTGTTCGACTTTCAGATATGTGACCAGAAGCGAGAATATCTCCAATCTGACAGTGCGTGCCTTAATCACGCCATAGAATTTGAAGCGCCACAAGAATAACTAGTTTTCGTGATTCGGGGAAATATCTGATGCTGATTTCGCTCATCTACTAGGCTAATTGCAACAGCCCAGCGTGGTCAATCTGTGCATGCTACGAACCCGGTTTTGTCTCATTATTTCTTCAATTATCATTTTGATTAGCTCGTTTACCAGTCACGTGTGTGTGCGCGTGCGCGCAAGCGGTTGTAGGTGGCGCTGAATCAGGAATCTGCAACAACATGGTCACGCAATGATTACTGCTTGCAAATGAGAAATAGGTTTATTGGACTGTGCTCGATTCGGAGTGAATGGACAAATGATTTGTATCCTCGGACGATATGATTATTGAAGTTGAAGTTCCTGTTGATCGCGTATTCCATCGCATTCTCAAAGTAATCGGGTTACACTCACAGTCAAAACATGACAAAATTCTTCTGTCAAGAGCTTTAGATTGTCTCCAGAATAAATAAGAAAGGAAGAAGTGATACATGTTTATCTGAAATTAGTGATTGGGACAAGATAATAAACTCCAAAGCACTTATCAAAGGAACAGGCAGGTTCCTCTGAAATATGTTAGAACATGCATGTCACAGTGAGCTAGTTGCATCGCAGGATGCACCGTGATTCAATACGGACAATAGAATTCACCAGACCGATTTCATCAACATTATTCCTACATTCTCGTAACCGATTAACCTACCACCAAATCGAGGAAGCCAGCTACCCCCTCCATCAGTCACGTTAGTCTGAATGGCTGAGTGGTGATTCGTGATAACTGATATGCACTGGAACGGAACCATACCGTGGAGGCTGATTGTCAATGAACCTTCTGACAGATTTGTTAGGAGATTTTGCGCCACGGTGGATTAGTTATCCACCCATCGATTTTTGGTCACCTGCTTCTGTAAACACTATTATGTCTCTAAATGTAATCAGAAGGAGTTGACTAGTAGATGTTTCCGCTGTGCAATTAATCAAATCGTTTACCTTGCTGAGTACGTGATTTCATTTAAGCTTATACAGCGCGCGGGGCGGGTGGGCAGAGGCATCTGAGCATGTACTCAATGGAGATGTCTGAATAAAACACAGAAGTAAGTACTTGCATTTAATCAGGCAAGTCCAGGAGATCGCATTTAGGAACAAGGAGAATACATGTACTGACTGAATACGTGTCGTCAATTTACGCCTGCAGGTCATGATACTCACTCAATTTGGTCAATCCCCTCTGTGTGCGCAGAAGCCATTAACCGAAACTCTATTCTACCTTCGTGAGCAGTAGTCAAACTATTCCAAATTCTCTTTTTTCCACTTATGCACGGTAAAGTAAAGAAAATGATATTTTTCACGATAATAATCAATATGCTGAACGAAATCCACGCATCCAATGATCTATCTGCCCTCCGTATTTGTACGACCATTATCGATCTTACGAAAATAGTGTTCGAAGTTTGGGAAACAGAAGGTCTAAAATGTGACGGGTAACTAAGCCATTGAATAGAGAAAGAGATTAAAGGTAATTCGAATCTCTTAGAGAAGAAAGTACATTGAAAAAGCACGAAATTCCGTAGACAGGAGAGGACAATCTTTCTTAACCCAAGATTACATTGAATAAAGAGTATTTATGTCAGATGGTGGTCGTGTAAAATAAGAAGGAAATCACCGCTGTTGTTGTTAGATATTATTCACACTTGTGAGGGGTTTTCACACACCACGAAGCGGTTGTTAGATTCCGACGGCACTTGCGAGTGGATTNTACAAATGCAGAAGAGAGGTACTGTTAGGCTGGCGGTTATCAATGAAGAGACGATCATAAAATTGCTAACCATTGTTACTAATTAGATGGTTCGTTGTATGTGACTGTTTTTACGCCCATCGAATGCTGTTATTTGAATAGAAAACTCTTCTCGTCCTAACACTGTCTTGTGGATATGCCATTATCATCGTTCGCTTTTCTATTATTTCATTCTTCAATGTAAGCGTTTTTGAAGTCAGCCTCTAAAATATGATCGCCTATTCTGTGCGTGTTCCGAATCGGGAGTACACTTGTAAGAGAAACTCAAACCCGGAAAGATACCTGGTGAACGACAAGAACAGGTCCAGTGACTCGGGGTAATTTCGTTGATTCTTGCATAACAGCTCTAAAGGAAACATCCTAAACCGGCCCTGTTGTTGAGTTTAACATTGACTGATATGCATAAATGATATTTGGTGTGTGATTGGTTATGTAAGCATTGGTGACGGGAATAACGATACCAATAGCGGCGCTCCTCCATATAACCTTCTCACAGCCGCTGCAGTTTGCTGCATTATGCTCAGAACTCTCTCTCCTCAACACAGTCGGTGTGTCGGTTTACATTAGAACATTACTAGCTGTGTTAGGTACTAATTGTTTGACTCGGCATATTACAGTTCACTTTTTGTTTGCTTTCATCAAACTGCTCTCGTTGACATCTCACTCGATCTCGTATTCTCGTGCCCAAGCACATGTTAGCTGGTTGCAATACACATGTGGTACCGGAAGTTCTCACTATACGTCTGTTGTGAAAAAGTATCTTCTGGACGCTTCCGGTATATCCTTGTTGAGCGCTATCTACTGGTCCGCTGTGAAGTTTCGTTAAGATTTACCGTGGTCGATGCATCTTATCATAAATCAACTAGCTCCCAATCCCAAAGAATGAACTGCGTAGATAAAGAGAACAACTGGTACTAAACT